CCAGCCAAGAGCGGCTTTAGTTTGAATTTTTCACGAGAGAGCCGACATTTTAAAAGTACACTAAAACGAATGTTCTAGAAAAAGTGTCCGCCAAAGGGGGGTGTCCAAATAAAAGAGGGGTCCGTTAAGGGAGTTTTCACAGTATAAAGAGATGTGTGAGTTACGAGATTAAGTACTGAAAACTGCCAAAGGATTCTTTTCAAAAAGAAGTAACCAAACAACCAATGCAGTGGGACTACAAATTCGTTTCCTACGCTACTGCCTTTCTAGCTTAACTAGTTTTCTGATTGATGGAAAACTGAACACTGCTCAGTAAGCCGTGCAGCTTGTGGTTCACATTTTAATATTTTCACAGTCACAACTTTTTGCATAAATCGAGCAAATTTGGTTAGCATTTTTTTTATGATCCCGTGGCACTCTTGCATCGTGTTAGGTTTTATGCCTTTCCAATGCATTGGGCATTAACCAACAGAAATGAGCAAATTTTATGGACAGAGCCATCAAAGGCATCAGCATGTTGTGCGCCCACATGCTTGGCATGCAAAACTAGTCTAAAACTTTGGTAATTTTTCCCCGTGGAAAAAAAGAAGAGAGCGAGAAAGAAACCAATTTCCAGACGCACTTAGCTAAGCTGCTGTTTTTGCGCAATATGGGCGTTTTATGTGCCACGCATGTGTCTGCGTGTGTGTGCGTGCGTGTGCGTGCGTGTGCGTGCGTGTGCGTAGGTGCTAAACCTAAACACGTAGTAGCTGGCGGCCTAAAAGCAGGCTACACAAAATATACGACTATGTGCACAGCAGCACCTGTTCTCCTTTCTTTTTTCTCGCAGTTGTTGTTGTTGTTGCCTTCTTTATAATGAAACAATCTCAGCAAATATGATATTTTGTATGCAAACATGCAAAATATTGCCAAAGCCTGAGCACTCGTAAAACGAAATAAGCCCGAGCCCATGCTGGGTGTGTGTGTGTGTGTGTGTGTGTGTGTGTGTGTGTGTGTGTGTGTGTGTGTGTGTGTGTGTGTGTGTGTGCTGTATTGTAGTCTACTTGTGCGCCTTCTTACGTCGAAGATAAACAAACAAATATTTGCGCTGACAATAAGCCGAGCCAAAAAAAAAGCCCGCCCAAAAAAAACACCAAAAGCAAAATGAATTAAAGGCAGTGAAGTGAGCTGAGCAGCGACGCATAGAACGGCGCTGAAAGGTTCATTCTGGCTTCTGAGTAATACTTACAAAAATTCAGTCGCCTTTCAAATACATCAACAAAATAATTTTGCATTTTATCAAAAATTTATGTTCTTAGTTTCGGGCGCGCAAATTGTCAGCTACATTTTAAATGAGGTAAAAAGCCACCTCACCTGCTGAGAACCCTTTGTGAATATTGTGTCAACAACTGAAAAAAGAAGAAGAAAAAATACGCACCATCCACCGCAGCGCGCACCCCATCCATCGTCAGCCAGACCGCGCACATATATCAAATATTGTATATCAATAATTCAATATTTATTTCGTTATTTTTATTGTTTGGCCGGCTCGAGGTCAGAGTAAGAAAAACCAATTTATTTAATTTTCTTTTCTTTTTCCGATATATTTCGGTTACGCCACGGTAACCGTCTTCAGGGCAATTATTTAAGCAAGTCTGCTCTGTTTGACTTGGAGTTAGTTAGTAACTCCAAGTCAAACAGAGCAGACTTGCTTAAATAATTGCCCTGAAGACGGTTACCGTGGCGTAACCGAAATATATCGGAAAAAGAAAAGAAAATTAAATAAATTGGTTTTTCTTACTCTGACCTCGAGCCGGCCAAACAATAAAAATAACTATGAGGAAGGTCACCAAAATACTCAACAATATTTATTTCGTCGTTCCGTGCGTCGAGCTGCTGTACTGTAAGTCGTAACGAGGAAATTTAATCTTTTTTCTTTGGAGTTCGCTGTCTCTACCTTGCTGGTAGGTGCTCCCCTACTCTGCTGGCACATTTGACAGGCATTGCAACCCAATTAGTTGTCGGTTTTGGCAGCGACGCTGCGAGATCTTCAAATTTGGCATTGGTGGTAGCTTAAAGAAAGAATGGCGACCCAATTGCAAAATGGGGAACCAAAATGTATTTAGTGGGGGCGTCTAAAGCTGGCCGCTGACCTTAATTGGTAATCAAATTATAAGCTGATTTCTATAATGCGGTAAATAAGTTAAATTGGTTTAGATTTTTGGCACTGAAGGTACAGTTGATGAACTGAAAGCGACAGTTCTTTATGCTTACACGATTTGCTTCACGTCTTCGCGTTTCCTGTTCAATAGTCTTTTGATGAATCTACTTGCCAAGTTAAATAGCTTTGTGGTTCCTTATCTTACCAAAATTTGTATCTTTATAATAAAACATGGAGTTTCTGACAAGTTTATTTGACTTTTTAACAAGAAACATTTGAAGCTACGTCAGTAGAATATCTTCCAATGCAATATCTTCTTTTCTTCTTGTTTGTGTAGCTTGTAATCTGTTTTTAAAATCTTCTTCCATTCATCTTTAAGATCTACCTTCAGTTCTACCTACTTTCGAACCAATTTTTTTTTTTTCAAATCTTCTATTAACAATCAAATTAACTTAATTTTCGTTGCCTCTTCTTTTCTATCAACTATTCAACTGTTTCTTTTGTCTCTTTTAATCGGTTTTTAAATTCTTTTTCCATTTATCTTTGAACTTTACCTTCATCGCTACGCTTTTCAGTTCTACATTTTCTATTTACTTTCAAATCAAATAAAAATAATTAATTCTTCTTTTAATCTGAAATTAACTTAAATTTTCTTTGCCTCTTCTCTTCTTTCAACTCTTCACCTGTTTCTTTTATATCTTCTAAACTGCTTTTGAATTCTTCATATATTCTTTTTTAGCTTTGCGTTTATGGCTACAATCATCAGTTGTATCTTTTCTTCTTTTTGTGCAACTCTTCACTTGTATCGTTTATCTTTTTCAATCTCCTTTTGAATTCTTCTTGCAGTTATCTTTTAACAAAGGGCTTTTACCTTACTTTCTATCTTCATCTTTCAGTTCAACCTTTTGTCCCTACCTTCTTTTCATTTTATTGCTTTTTGCTGTTTTATCTCTTTCCTCATTTTCCCTTTTTCCGTTTCAATATTGCCATTACCAGTGCCACATTTTATGTCCTGTCACTAATTGTATTCTTGTCCAGCCTTTCTTCCTGGTTATTTGCCCGCTTTACTTACATGCCATGTCTTGTAGTCTCCGAGGAGCGTCAGTCTGCTCCCACAATCCCTATTCTCGAAGAGACACGCGACATACGCCAACTCGCAGCCAACTAAGCTGTCAACAAATTAACTGCGATGCTGGGTGTGTGTGTTTGTCTGCCATACGGCAGGACATGCATGGCATGGCTTGGCATGTTTTGCTGTCCAGCTTAGGCTGCTGGCCACTGCATGCACATAAGTCGTAAATTGTTGGCCCAAAGGGGATGCAATGCAGCATCAGCTGCGACCACTGGGCCCAAAATATTGAACAATTAGCTAACAACAAACAGAGCGAAACGATGGGCAAACGATGGGGCAAGAATGTGGCGATTGGGGGCCAGGCAGTGTTTGTAATTTAAATTTTATTTCTGCCAACAATTGGCAGGATGTGCCAACTACAAAGGAGTGCTGCATACATGCTCGTGTATATATATTTTATTTGTATAAATAATGCTCTGGTACGTGTGGTAATGATGCCGACACGTGACAAGACGGTCGCCAAAAGTTGCCAAAACGTTAAGGCGTTGAAATAAGATATTTTTTCTGTATATTTATGATGGGGTGGTCGTAGCACTTCTTTTTTTTTTTTTTTGGCACGGTTGCAGCATCTCGTGGCCGTGTGTATAAATTTGCATGAGCCCCACTCATATGTATGGAGGAAGAGATCCTTACAGACAAAGCACTGTGCGCATAAACAAATAAACAAACAGAACATAAATTTCTGCACACGGCTGCAGGAAAAGGCGTAGGCGTTGGCGGTGGCTGCTGCTGCCTGCATATGCCAAGCACGTTTTTTCCGCCTGGGTGTCGTTTCCGGCTCCCCGACTCGACTGCCTGCTGTGCCTTCTCTGTCGACGCTGCCTTAGCCATGGCTTGACATTGGGCTTTGATAACAATAATAATAATAAGAAGGTATATAATAACAATCATTTTGTGTCCATAAATGCTGCCACATGTCATCGACAGAGCTGGCTGACAAAAAGATATTATGCCCCGTCGACCAGGTTAACCGCAATGCCAAAGAATGAAGACAGTTTGTGTGTTTTTTTCAGCTTTTTATCTTTTTATTGACTTGGTTTTTTATGTAAAATTGGTTTATTTAAAGCAATTTGTATTTTTTATCGCTCGACATAAATGTATGAATTGCACATATAAATATTCCTATTTTATACTATAACAGCCATAATATGAGCAGCAACAACTTAAACAATCTTAAATATTAAACGCAACAGTCACATCATATAGCATATAAACAAGAGATATATACAGTCTCTCCTCGAAGCCAGTGGTCTCGGCAGGAACAGCTGCATTGAAAAGAAATAAAGCAGAAATATTTTAATGGCAATTAGTTATTTAGTTGGAGTAGAATGTTAAGAATAAATATAGCTTATATAGCCCCATTAGCATAAGATACAATAATATTGCCGATTGCAATTGCTTACAATATTCCACCTAATCAGTACAAACAACTACAATAAATTTGATATCAACAAACATAATAAAAACCTTCATATAATTACGATACTGACTTTTTAAACAATATCCAAAATATTATTAAGAATATTCCAAACATAGAACTATGAAATCAATTCAGAAGCAGGATAAATATTGAACACATACTTATCCAGGCTTATATATAATTGATTTTAAAATATAAATATAATATACTATATAATGGAGCAGCTTTTTTAAATAAATAATTAAAATAAATTCGCTTCATATATGATTTACTAATAATATCAATTTCCATATCTTCTCTACTTATAGTTAACGCAATTCATACACTGAAATAAACGTTTTCCTGCAGATAGAAGGCAACAACAACAACCTTTGAAAATGTTGAAAATGAATAACGTAAGTAATTAATATTTCTCATAAAGATTGGGCCAATACTGCAAACTCTATTGCTATTAAAACGATTATGTGGTGTAAAGATATGCAGTTTTATAAAAATTATGATAAATACTACAACAAAAAAAGACTTTTAAAGTCTATTGCTATATAAACCAATAAAAGATATTATAACAGAATTAAATGAAAAACTGAACACATTTCCGAAATGTCAGCGAAATGTTTATCATAGGGCCAGGAAAGCTCTTACAATTTTGTAAAATGTTGGCATAATATGGAAGACCAAAATAGAACAGAAACTACAAGTATATGGAAATCTTATGCGCTATGACTTAAAATCATTTTTATTTTTGTTCCACAATGTAATGCTAACAAAATTTGTCCCTACCTAACGGCATTTTTATTCTATAGTTTTTATTTTTCAGGAATTTTCAGTAATAAATCAATGGCTTTCTTATGATAGAAAATTTCTTGAGATTGGCTTTGAAATTTGTAGAACCTTGGAAAATGTGTGTTTAAACAATATTTATAAATTGAAATAATTGTTTGGCGAACTGGTTTCTAACATAGGGAAGTATATTTCCTCCTAAAAGAAACACAAAACACAGTTTGTTTTCATTTTAAATTAAATTTTGCTTAACACACAACACAAACTCTATATTTATCAACATCTTTTCAACATTTATGGTCCCTATTTTTGCCACTTAGTGATGTTTGCTTAAATTTGTTATACTATCGTATTTAGCTATCATTCCGAACGTAACATATTAGATTAACTTCGAATGCGATAGTAGTATTTGTTTTGGTTTCCGCTATGCGCTCATTTAAAATCGGTTATTATTTTTGGAAAATTAAAGGCATAGTGTTCAAAAAATCCTTCTTAAAAGCACATTTTGAAATTCAGTTAGCAAACGCTTGACTTTCTGTCAATGGAAAGCAAAGTTGGAAAGTTGGTCTTCAGTATTAATGGAAACAATATAAGTTTCCTAAAATTGCAGTTCCATTTCAAGAAAAAGAAACCTATTTTCCATTTCAAGAAAAATAAACATATTTTCCATTTCATTTAAATAAAAAGCTTCAAAACTGTAAATACATAATTTTTCACATAAAAAATTTGACAAAAAGTAAAGAAAGATCTCCTACAGATATAGTCTTAGGAAATGTGAACCAAAAACTTGTAAATACGGAATTAGCTTCAAATAAGTTTAAAAAAAAAACATTTTATTGTTCAACTTTGTTTAAAAGCTGATTTTATTTCCTAAGGAATATTTTATTTTACTATTTATGTTTCTTTCGTCTCTGGTTATTTACAACTAATATATCCTTTTAGCTTTTGGTTACAGGTCATTAATATTTAAAAACAAATATTTTTCAAAAATTGAGTTCATGTTTGGATGTCTAGCAAAAGTCTATTCGAGAAAAAACTACCTGAGAAGATTTTAAACTCATTTTTATTTAAAAAAACATTCCTAAACATTTTAAACAGAAAAGTGAGAAGGTACTGGATTCTACCTAACTAATAATTGAAAACTGATTTGGATTTCTAATGGCCGTCTTGCTCCGCCTTCGATAAAAAGTACAGTATACAAAAATCTTCACAAGTTGTTGTTAAAAATAGAAAGTATGAAGAGGTTTTCTAAACACGAGCTAAATCTTGTTATAACACATTTTTTAGTTTGCCTGAAGCTCGCAATCTGTAAGAAATCATAAGCTTCTATCCTAAGTAGTGTCCTTAATGCAGGGACATTCATTTCTCATTCTAATCTCCCATAATTGCATTCATTTTTCATTTTCAAAGAAGAATCAAAAAACAATCAATTTACACATCAATTTCATGTGTGATTTTCTTTTCAAACCACTCGTACGAGCATATGTGTGTGTGTGTGTGCCAGGACGTGCCAGAGAGAACTTAAAGCAGATTTTGAAATGTCTAGACAATCAAACAAGTTCGTCAATAGTCCGTCTACCTGTTATTTGCCTTTCACTCAATTGTGTTATTGGAGCTTAATTACTACACATTGCAACGTATATCTCTGAATGTGTATTGTTTGCGTGTGCCCGCCCGACTTGTCCTATAATGCAATATATATGGTCAAAAAGCAGCATGTCTGTACGAGTATGTGTGTGTGTGTCAGTTTCCGGCATTGGTTATATGCTGGTAGCTGGCAGGCAATGAGATGAGCCGCTTAAACTTTGCTGCTGCTGCTGCTGCTCCTGATTCTGCTTCTGCTCCTGCTGATAGCCAAAGTTGCCGCTTTTGTGTTTCGATGGCGATGAGCAAAAGGATATCAGTTGCCTAGCACAAAGGCAACAAATTAAACTGTTCTATTTGCAAATGAATTGTGCGTACGTGTGTGTGCAGATGTAGGAGTATGTGTGGGCATCTGTCCTGCGTAATTTTGCAGAAAACTTGGCAAATGTTGTAAAGCGAGACTCGAACTCAATACTGCCCGGCCAAATACTCGTACATACGCACACGTCCTTCCGCTTGAAATAAAATAAGTAGTATAATATAAAGGAGGGAAAAAAGAACGTGAACGTAAACGTAAACGCAAACTCAAACGCAACGCAACACAACGTAACGAAATGAAATGAAAGAAAAGGATTCTCTGCTTACAAAAACTTTTCGTCTTTGTGTGCACCCGAGTATTTGTGGGTGTGGGTGTGCGTATGGGTGTGTGTGTGTGTGTGTGGGTGGATGTGGATGTGTTTGTGTGTGTGTGTGTGTGAAACTTTTGTGAGGGCTCAACAACTACAACATCCTTTGGTTGGTCGGTTGGTTGGTTGCCTGCTTGCCTGGCAGGTTGGGTTTGCGTTTCATACGCTCAATTGCTGGTGGTTAGCCAAGCCGGCTGCGTGTTCTGGTCGACAGTCAATTGAAAATGAAATTGGCAAAAGTTAGCCAAAGTCCCTCCCCACCCCTCACAGGACCCCCTCTTTGCTTTTTGCTTCAAAAGAGCTTCAAGATACGTGCGGACAAGCATGCATAATGAGTAGCAGCAGTAACAGCAGCAGTAGCAGCAGCAGTAGGCGATCAAGACTCCAATATATATGCGGGCGGTCCTGTCGCTTGCCTTGCAAATTAATACTAAGAGTCGCACAAAAGTATGCAACACAAAATGGATGCCAACCTGCTGCCGCAGCCATTGTAAATAAATAGCTACGCGACGTACAAAAGTATGCAACAAAAAATAGTTACCTCCTACATGTGTATATTTATGTCGGTTTTCCCGTTGCCCTTTTTATAGTTGTCCCTTTCGGCTCATAAAAAAACTAAAACAAGAAAAGAATGCTAAAGTCGAGCAAGCTCAACTCTTAAATACCCTGTACCTCCCACCAAAAAGGAAAAAATGAAAAAAAAAATTTTTTAATAATTAAAAAAATTATATTAATTAAATTATTTAATTAAATTAAAGAATAAAAAAATAAACTTTATCTGCCTAGGGCTTATGGGAATCTGGATACCGAGTTTGGTTATTCTAGCTCTTGTACCTTCTGAGATCCTTGCGCTCATACAGACGGACGGACGGACAGACGGACATGGCTATATCGACTCGGCTTGTCACCCTGATCAAGAATATATATACTTTGCGGGGTCTGCCACGCCTCCTTCTGTGTGTTACATACATTCGCACAAAACTAATATAGCCTTTTACCCTTTGAGTACAGGCTATAAAAAAAACAAAAAGAAAAAGAAAGGAAAAGCACAAAATACAGTTGCAGCGCAACTCGTAAGCTCGTATTACAGCATTACTACCAACTACAAGGCCCCTACTGCCAGTCTCCCTGGCGTCCCCTTCCTGCATTCCCCCCACTCTTTACGCAACTTATCATCGACACGTCGTGTTGTCAAATTTTTATGGATTTCTGTTTGAGTGCATTTGCTTGTTGCGCACACAACGTAGCGTCGCATTCTGATTTTTTACGATTCATTCTGTTATCCTTGCCCATCCCCCCTGCATAAGTATGTGTGAGTGTGTGTCTGTTTTTTATATTTTTTTAGGGTCACAAAGTGACAAATTGTTGGCCAAGGTGCGTAGTAAAAAGGATTAAGCATATAAAGCACGAATATCATGACATGATTATACGGTACTATGAACGATTTACTACACATGTACATATCTATGTATGTGCATGTGTGTTTGTGTAAAGCAGCATATGCAGGGCATCAGCAAATAAGGAACTGCGCTCTAGTGTGGGGGATAATAAGCGTGAAGCAGGCAACCGATTTTCCAAGAAGGATGATTCTATTATTTTTTTATGACAACACCAAGCAGTGTGCTGTCAAGCAAGGATTACATATACAAGTGCTATATATTTGTTGGTGGCTGATTATAGAAATCGGATAATAAAAACGGGTTTAAACCAATGTGCTTGATTGAGATTTAAAACTAATTTAATGCTTAAAAATAAAAATAAATAATTGATTGGTTTAGCTCACCGCGTTTGTGGTCTTAAACTATTCTTTGTATTGCTCCCTCTCCAACATAGCAAGCATCAGCGCGTGTTTCTGGCTGTACTGAAAAGACAGAAGAAAGAATGAAGAAATGCAAATTAGTATTCAGTTTTTTGACAATTTTAATTAAGTTACAATTATTTGAACTGTTTTGTTTTGCCAATCTTGGATATTAACAAAAAATAGTGTTATAACAATAAGTCCGGGTATATTAGGATCGTAGGAAATATTCAAGGCTCAATCGTCAAGTCGTAACTTAGATGACTGTTGACTCCTAGAACGGCTTTATTTCTCTGCCCAAACGACTAACATCTGACCGTTGACTTGTGCTTGGAACTACTTATGGCTAACGACTTCCTAGTACTTGCGGCTGATAACTAATTACTAAGCATATTTACGGCTGATTGCTGAGTACGACGATGTTGCTAATGAGGGTTCCTTGTTTATTATTTTATATTATGCAAACAAGTTAAAGGTTTTGCCGATTATAGAAATTTATTAAATAAAAAAAAACCCAAATATTTAAAAAGTTTATACAAAAGAAATT